GCGAGTTATTTGATATTGCCTGAAGTACGTGTTAAAGAACATACATGATTATATATGATGATTTAGGATAAAGAGTAAACCTAAATTAATTATGGGGAATATTGGGTAGTATTTTCTTACAAGTACGAGTGAGTTATACTCAGAGAATATAACTTTAGTATATGTCATTGATCCGGGAGCATGGATTAGACATAGTCATTGTCCCTAGTCCGAGAGTATGGATTGGACATAGCCAACTGTCATTAGTCCGGGAGTATGGATTAAGACATAGTCAGTCGTCCTCAGTCCGGGAGTATGGATAGGACATAGTTATTCGTCGTTAATCCGGGAGAATGGATTTACACATAGACACTTGTCCCTAATCCGAGAGTATGGAATGGGCATTATTATTGATACGAGAGCATGGATTAGATCCGAGAGTATGGATTAAGTAAGAGGTAAAATTTAAGGTCCGAGAGTATGATAGTCTCGTTGTGAGGATTAACGGGGTGGGGTAAGAGTTGCTATTATATATATGGTGAAATTGTATATTTTGTGATTTCTAAATTGTATATATGATACGACATTGTGGGATTGAAATCCATATGTACTCACCAGGTTTCCCAACCTGACCCACTCAAGCTTATTTGTATCACAGGTGTCGATATGAAGCTACTTTACACTGAGAGATTTAAAAGAGATGTAGATCACTAGTGTAAATGAATGTAAGTTCTGTTTATGCTTATGTTTCTGTATTGACGATGACATCCCAAGGTTTTGAAAATGAATAAAAATACATTTCTTCATAAATGCTTTGATAACGTATTTATCATGTTTTTCTGGGAACAAATTCCGCAACATTTTTATCAAAAGACGTATTCTGATTTTTATAAAGCATAAACAAAATCGGTCTTTTCTGGTCGTGAAAATGGGGATGTCACATAAAGTTTGCACCTTTATGCCATGAAACCCCTTCTAGACCCCAGATTTGAAAGAGTAATCACTTGGGACGTCCAAGTCTCAAAAGCTAACATTCTTGGACCAAAACCCCATAAAAGCGAAATGAAGAGATCTAATAAATCATTGAGCAAGTTTGAGACTTGCTTACCCGAAAATGTTGCAAATGAAGTGAAGTTTATGGATCTACTCTCTTCTTCTTGAGTCCTCTAGCTTCCTCTTCTCCCACAAGCTTCAAAAGCATAAGTTTTCTCTCAAAAAGGTCTCACAAGCTCACACAAGGCTCTAGGGTTTCGTGGCTAGGGTTTTAGGACTTGGAGCTGTAAATGAGGCCAACCTTTAAGGATTAATGTGTTTAAATAAGGTGCAAAACCCTGAAATTAGGGTTTCACTCTGCCAGCCCTACTCGTCGAGTTGGGGCTCTCAACTCGTCAAGTAGGTTTCTTCACCCGCATCCCAAAATAATTCCTACTCGACGAGTTTGGGGCCTCCATCTCGTCGAGTTCTCATTTAAAAGTGAATAATTTTTTTTAAAAAAAATACATACCAGGAACCGGGCGTTACATGGTTGTTCCTTATCAGCTATATGTCAATGTTCTTTTGGGATTATTGATAAATCTGATAGAAATATTATAACGATTAAACTTTATAAATACAAACAAATATTAAGGCTTAGTAATATTCGTGTTTAGGTCGTTTTAAAAGGGAATATGAAGTGCTAGTTAAAGAGTTGACTTTCCCATAAGTCTTCCACCTATATCAGTTGACTGCATAGTTACTTTCATAAACACGACTTAATACAAGTACTTATTAAAAAATATTAAATATATGTTTAAAGTTGTAAGTTAAATGTTTATTATCTGGAATATTTGTTAAATGTATATTTGGTAACGTATATTGTGTGAACCATATATGGTATTTATGTGTTAAAGTGCTTATATGATATTATTATATGATAATCCTAAAGATAAGTATGATTACTTAAAAGATTATTGTATATTAAAATACATGATACTCTGTGTTAAATATATATACTAAATTACGACAGTGTTCTCTAAACATAGTGATATTAAAAGTGGAATTCAATGATTGTAATATTGTCTGAGTTTAAAACTAAGACGTATAAAGAATATTTATATCCTGTTAAGTTGGATAAAAGAATCATCGCATACTATATTGCGATAGTATAGTATAAACAGGAAAAATGGTTTTGGAAATCGCTTATAAGCCTTATAGCCTTACCTAGTAATGAAATAAGATTTATAAAATATAATTAGTGCGAATAAAATCGAAAGAGTGTTTAGTTATACCCTATGTTGTAAAAACATTACATAGGCAGTAAACTAGGGGTGAGCATTTGGACCGGACCGGTTAGGGAAAATATTGTGGACCGTGGACCGAACCGGATGAGTCGTGTCTGTGTCCGTCTCCAGGTCCGGGTTTTCCAGTTCTTGGACCCGTTTGGACAGGTACAACTTTAATTGCATAGAGTACAAGTCGTTAAAATAAGTTTTTGGGTTTGATAGAACTCGTTAAAACGAATATGTTATTGGGTTTGATACGATACAACTTGTAAAAATGATTACATTTCCGTTTCATTCATAATTAATCTACCTTGATGTTATAATATTATAAGTTTCAAAATTAATTTTCCAAATAAAAGCAAATAACATATAAATCAAGTTCACCAAGATCCTTTCATATGATTTATCTGTCAAAGATACATAAAATTCAGAATTATAGTCTAAAATAATAGTTAAAAAAGTTGAAATATTTCAACTTTGATAGCTCAACTGTGAAGGTTTGTAACTCACTGAATATAATACAAAAATCAACAAAATTATAGACTAAATTTATCTACAAACTGTAAACTAAATGTTGGAAAAAACCGCAGGTCAATCCGACTTAAAACGAATAAGTTATGGTTGTTTAAAAAATTTCACATATTACAAACTTTTAAAAATCTTGCTGAAAAGCTGAAATTTTTCAGCTTTGATAGTTCAACTTTGAAAGACGTTAACTCATAGAATATAATACCAAAATCAATAACATTATAGTCTAAGTTCATCTACAAACTGTAAATTAAACGTTGGAAGAAACTGCGTGTCAATCTGACTTAAAACAAATGAGTTATGGTTGTTTAAAATTTTTCACAAATTACAAAATTTTAAAAATGTTGCTGAAAAGCTGAAAATTTTCAGCTTTGATAGCTCAACTTTGAAAGACTGTAACTCATTGAATATAATACCAAAATCAACAAAATTATAGTCTTAATTTATCTACAAACTGTAAATTAAATGTTGGAAAAACCGCGTGTCAATCCGACTTAAAACGAATGAGTTATGGTTGTTTAAAAAATTTCATAGATTGCACTTTTTTTTAAATCGGGTCCAACCGGTTCTAAACTCGGTAAAAACCGGACCAGACTGGGAAAAAAACCGGACCGATTTTGATGGATTCCTAGAACCGAGAACCGGCCCGGGGGTCCAAAAAACGGTCTGGTTCACAGGTCCGGTCCGATCCACCGGTCCAAATGTTCACCCTTACAGTAAACTGTGTTTATTATAAACATTGTAATCTTGTCTAGTTATACACTAGGACTTAAAGGGGATGCTTAGTTCAATTAAGTTGGATATTGGGTAGCATCATATTATGGGTGTGTGTTATAGGAACGGAGAGTAGAACTCTGTTCCGTGACACTATCAGGTGTCGATGTATGGATTACGTATCGGAGTACAATAAAGTATTTCTTTGGACAACCATATATGGTGGGTCTGATCAGGCAACTGAAATGGTATGTCTGGTCATCTACCAGAGTAAGATGATAACATTTACTTGATCATTCTGGACGGTCTTATGAATTACGTTGTTAGTGCGGACTTATAACCCACAAACATAGATGAAATGGGATACCATATTCATCAAATACTCTGATGGATTAAATTGCCTTTATGACTTACAATGGCCAAGGAAACCCCTAACCGTGTAGTCAAACCATTGCTCTAAACGATTTATCAGACGAGTTGATTCTTCTTAATAATCGTGGACTAGGATTTATGAGAATCGGTTGGGATGAGTATGTATGGGTGTAAGGTTTTATAGATATCTAAGTTATGATATATATATATATATATATATATATATATATATATATATATATATATATATATCTAGTTTGGTAATAGTTGGTTTTGCAGTTTTGATAACTGTAAATTATTGTCATAATAATATTGTGAGATTACAAACCCTAACCAGGTTTCCCAACCTGACCCACTCAAATTATATGCATCACAAATAGCATTGCTAAAGTTGTTAGAACTTGATTAGGATGCCGAGTGATTAAAAGACAACATGCAATATTGTTCGGGACCATTAAGTCTTTACGATGTAACATTGTTATGTATTGATTATGATATCCTTAAAGTTTTTGTATTTTGAAACAACATCTTTACTCAAATACTATATTTTAATAAAATGAGACAGTTTCCACAAAATGTTTTATTGTAGTGGGATTTTGCAAACAAATTATTATGATTTTAAAGAGTAAAGAAAAGTTTTTTTTTTTTTTTTTTTTTTTTTTGAAAAATAGGGGATGTCATACAAATGATCAAATGAAATTCTCTATCAAAATATATTAACCTTACTATCAAGGATTTTATTATATTCGGTCTTTATAGGAAGCGATGTTACTCCGTATTCATCAATATGACTTCAAGAATCTTTAACAACATATTCCAGACCATTATTAAAATTTGTAAATTTAAGGCTTTTTTGCAAAATATTTATAAACTTAATGAGTTTTTGTAAATAACATTTTATGGTAACTTGGAACCTGTTATTCCAAATTGGTTGTTGTGTGGTCACAAATACAACCCGAACTTTATACCAAAAATCGTTTAAATGCGAATATAGCCTAATGAATATTGAGGCGGGTTAACCCAAGGACCAACATAGGCCCAAACTGTTCATATACAGGTTAGTAACAGGTACACTCGTGAGTCGCGACTCGAACTCGACTGAAGAAGATTCATTCCTTGCTAAACCCAAAACCCTAGACAATAGACATGGCGTCGTCTTCTTCTGCGCTCCTCCGCCGCACCCGTCATCTGTCAACCGCCGTCGCTACTGCCGCCACTACCGATGTCACTAACTCAGCTTCCATGACCATTTCCAAAGCCAAATCAAAACTCAGAACGGAACACGATACCGACAAAGCTTTAGACATCTACTCAACCGTCAAAGCCAATTACTCCGCATCTTCACCTGGATCCGCACATCATGCTCAACAGATCACAGTCCGCCGCCTTGCAAAATCTCATCGTTTCTCGGATATAGAAGCCCTCATCGAGTCCCATAAAAGCGATCCTCGGATCACCGATGAGCACTTTTTATCTTCCCTCATTAAATCATACGGCGTAGCCGGCATGTTTGAGCACGCTCTCAATACATATAATCAGATGGAAGCCCTGAAAACGCCTAGATCAGCTCTATCATTCAACGCTTTACTCACGGCTTGTCTGAAAACGAAGAATTTCGATCGTGCGCCACTACTGTTCGACGAAATGCCAGCAAAGTATAGGTTCAGACCAGACGAGTATTCGTATGGTATACTGGTTAAGTCCTTTTGCGATGCCGGTAAGCCTGAATTGGCGATAGATAAACTGAAAGAAATGGACAAGAAAGGTATTCAGATTTCTGGAATCACTTACACATCGATAATTCATTCGTTGTATAAGAAAGGAAACCCCACCGAAGCCGAGAAGATCTGGGATGAGATGGTGAACAGAGGATGTTTGATAGATGTTGCTGCAAACAACGTAAGGTTAATGAACGCAGTTGATGGTGATCCCGAGAACATCAAGTCAATGATTGAAGAAATGAGCAACGCAGCCCTAAAACCAGACACTATAAGTTACAATTACCTCATGACTTGTTACTGTAAGAAGGGGATGATGAAGGAAGCAAAGGAAGTGTATGAGAAGTTGGAAGAACACTGCTGTCAACCCAATGCTGCTACATTTAGAACACTGTTGTTTTATCTGTGTAAGAATGAGCAGTTTGAGACTGGTTACAAGGTGTTTAAGCACAGTGTGAAGGTGAACAAGATACCCGATTTCAATACATTGAAGCATTTGGTTGAAGGGTTAGCTAAAAAGTCAAGAACCAAGGATGCAAAAGGGATGATCAGGACAATGAGGAAGAAGTTCCCTCCTAATCTTTTGGTTGCTTGGTCAAAACTGGAGAATGAACTTGGATTAGCTAGTAATGCCATTGATCCTGCAAGAGAAGCTAGGACATGAGCCCTGTTTGATCAATCATAAATATGGGAATAAAACCACTGATACGCACAAACATGCTGCCAATAGCCTCCAGAAAACAAGCTGTTTCACTTTCAACTTTCATCTGGTGGTTGGATTTTGTCAACGAGGTAAGTGATACAAATGTTATAATTCTAGTTAGTTTGAGTGATTTGTAGCTCAAATATGGAGCTTTTTCTGTTGCTTATTGATTTTTATTACAGTTGGAAGCTCTTTTTTGGTTCAATATCTGAATCTTGTCATTTGTTTAACTTTTTAACTCAGGTTAGAAGCTCAAATTTTGTTCTGACAATAAGCCTCCTCATTTATTTAGTGTTTTAGACTGTTGTTCATCTTGATGTATGGAATTTAATAATAGAGTTGAAAGTTAGGTTTGATACTTGATACAATATTATCTTGATAATTGCTAATCTCATGGTTTTAATGATAAGTTACTTAGATCCAGAAGAACACTAATTCAACTCACAGGGTGTTACCACTATTGGATTAAAATTTACATTTGTATTGTGTATGCATTAGGGATCATAAATTTGATCTAGATAAGCTAAAATGAAAAGAAAAAGAGTATTTAGGGATAACAACTTAAAATGCATACATGATTAGATGGAGGATACGTGTACCCAATGCCATGAAAAGAAAAAGAAGGGTTTTCATTCTCGAATCTTTTGTTCAAGATTAAGGCAAACCATTTTTTTCTGCTTGTTTATATGGAAAGGTGTCATGTTGAGGTGCAAAAACTAACACGACATGAAATCAACAGGTTTAAGATATCTTAAACCTGTTTAATTAAACATGTTGACACATCACGAAAATTAAACGGATAAGGTTAGGGTTGAGAATTTCAACTTAAAATTATGTTGTAATGGATAACAAAATTATGAAGCGATAAAAGATTTGAGGACATGTGAGTTGTCATTGTTCAAAAATAACTATTCATTTGTGGATTTTTGCTACCCCAACTCGCTGCCAAACCATCGATGAAATGGTTGAAGATGAAAATCATTTCAATTTTGATATATGTGTACTTGATTTTTCATGAAGACGAAAAGTGTTTAAAGAAAATAAAAGAAAAAATTAGTTTAAAACATACAAGGTTTTTGATTAAAAAATATATACACGGTTTTCGATTTGGATGTTTATGTTAGTGTGTACGGCATTGTTTATAGATATATGAACATGAACAAAATGATTTGTTAAATAAAAAAACACGAAAAATAAAATTTATTTGTTTATCTGTTGGTTCATTCGTTAGTCCATATCATGAACATTGTTCATGTGGTTCATTTATAGCCAGTCGACAAATAAACAATTAAATTGGTAACACAAAATTTGGATGATTAAATTAATAGAATTTGATGTTTAATGTACAATGGATTACAATTAAAACAATCTGTGCCGTGGCTCAAAGAGCAAAGAGCATATTAGTGATACCCCCACATCTATGCATATTCCAAGTCTCTAAAACCGATCATATCTGCTTAAAGTTGCTTTCAAACTTTAACCGATAATCATTTCTAGTACACAATAATCCAATTTTTAATCACCACCCAAAACTGTACTCCATCTACTTTCCTTATATATCAACATCCATTACCCACCACTCAAATACACGTTTAGTAACACTTATGTTTTCTGTTCACATCTTTTTAAACTTTTCAAAATACACAAAAGAAGAAAAACTCATTTGGTATATGACCATTTCCTTTTCACTAAAAAAATATATATGTTTCATTAGGTTTAAACTTCTACACCTCATTCAAGTTGCCATTTATAAAAAAAAAAAAAAAATTGTAAGTTGATTTATGTTTGATAAATAAAACAAATGTTTTATCAAGATTTGAGTTGAAAAAAGGGGAAATGTAAATAGAAAACGTTTAGCCAAACACATGTTTTGCCAGTCCCACAAAAAATATAAAAGACAAAAGCTTGATGAGCATATGAACAAGCATTAGGCCATGGATGGACTTCCACTACCATACATTCATGAAGAAACTAAGGCCCCTTCAAAATGATGGCCGTTTAGTGACAAGTGTATGGAAAACAAAATCTAACAGATTTACTCACTCCATTTCGTAACCGCCAATATGTCATAATCGGTTGCTGTATCAATCCTGTGTGCTACTCGTATCAACATATTTCACAAAACAGCTCGATGTTGAAACCAATCATAATCTAACCAGCAGAAACTAGTCCTAAAAAAATATTTTAATGATTAGGACCAATCTCAATCCTGACTGACTGACTAGACAGTCTTTAAACAGTCACACCCAATTCATGGTCCTCATGGTCCTGGGTGAGTGACTAAATGTTTTAGTTAAAAACTAAAAAACCTACGTAAAATTTGACCACATTTGGTTAAAACTAGTTTATTAATATAATAAGATGACATAAATTCAGAAGTGTGTTGATTTTAATTTTTTAAATAAATTGTTTCTGATACTTGGTTCGATTTGTTAAAGAGTGTTTATTATAAATAAAAACAAAATTACGGTTTTACCATTCTAAACTCTAAAAAACACCCACAATCAAACATATCACAACCTCATACTTTCTGTGTTTTCATCACCATCGACGGACACTAAAGCTTCACATCATGCATGATGCATGGTTTTTATTTTTTTGTCTATTATTGCAAAATGGATTTCATAAAGAAAGCTTAGTAGCTTACCACGTGTTCAACTCAAGTGTGACCACAATCCCATGAACAATAATAATACTTCATACTCTTTTGGTACCATATAAGCTTTAATTTGTTTTAAATAAGCAATCTCAAACGCCTATGTTAAACATACAATATTAATAATACCTTGTTGGAGCATTTTTTTTAAGACTTTTTACTAATTATTAAATGATCGAAATTTAATTTTTGAAGAAAAAGAATATATGAAAATGAAAAGAAAAACGTCCTAAACCGAACAAGTCTTACAAAGACTGGTTTTTTTGTTAAGAAAGACCAGACTGTTTAGGACCAGACGATGTGCATGTACTTCACTAACAGCCAATAACCGGGTCCATATTTTGAGAGAAACCTCCAAAATTTCGGGTCAATTGTTGATGGGTTATTTACCCAAAACACCAAAAAAGCCCCTCCTTTTGTGAACTGGCACTCGCAAAAATATTATAGAATACGGATAATGAACATTGAAGCGAAGGCCCCCCATAAATAAAGTACAACAAGGATGCTTATTGCTTAACATAGAAAAATACCAAAATACAATATAAATAGTAAACCCATTAAACCAACAATATACAGAATAAGACACAAACACCATCTCTCTAAACCTCTCATTATATACATTCATTCTAATTCAAATTTCAAACTCTCACTCCTACACCTTTGACCATAATTCATGGGATTCTCTCAAACTATGGATGACATGGAATTAACGCGTGTTTATGTCCCCGGACCTCTAATCGTGGGTGCTGGACCTTCGGGTTTAGCTATAGCCGCATGCCTTAGAAAACAAGGGGTACCCTTTGTAATTCTTGAAAAAGAAAATTGTTTAGCATCTCTATGGAGACTAAAATCATATGATTCCCTTAAGCTTCACTTACCCAAGAACTTCTGTCAACTCCCTCATTTCCCCTTTCCTAATCATTTCCCAAAATACCCATCCAAGGAACAGTTCATCGCTTACCTCGATTCTTTCGCCAAACACTTTTCAATTCGTCCCTTGTTTGGGTACGAGGTTAAGAGTGCAGAATACAAAGCAACTTCCGATGGTTGTGGTTTGTGGTGTGTGGTGGCGAACCAGACGGAGTTTGTGTCGCGGTGGGTGGTGGTGGCCACCGGAGATAATGCCGCCCCGGTGGTGCCAGAGTTTGATGGGTTGAGGATTTTTGGCGGGAGAGTGATGCATAGTAGTGAGTATAAGAATGGAGGTGAGTTTAGAGGGAGGAAGGTTTTGGTTGTTGGGTGTGGGAATTCGGGGATGGAGATTAGTTTGAATTTGTGTCATAATGGTGCGAGAGTTTCTTTAGTAGTAAGAGATAAGGTACATATAACATATTCTTCTTTTTGTTTTTTAGTTTAATATTTATTTGATATGAATTACTGAATAATTTAAAAATGTATGCAGTTGCATATATTACCTAGGGACATTTTAGGAAGATCGTCTTTTGCGATTGCAGTTGGTTTGCTAAAGTTGTTTCCTTTAAGATTTGTTGATTGGCTTCTAATTGTATATTCACGGATGACTCTTGGAGACACAAGTAGGGTTGGTATTGTAAGACCTAAAGATGGACCTCTTAAACTCAAGGGTAAAACTGGAAAAACACCGGTTTTGGATGTTGGATCGTTATCTAAGATTAAGTCTGGCCAAATTAAGGTAAATATAAATCACTATAACATAATCCTAGTTAATCCTATTTTCGACTAAAAATTAAATTCTTGATTTTTTATAGGTTGTAGGTGAAATCCAACGATTCACATCTTGCCATGTGGAATTCATTGATGGAAAAGTGGAAGAATTTGATTCGGTAATCTTGGCTACTGGTTACACAAGTAATGTAGCTTCATGGTTAAAGGTACAATCTGCAATGCATGAGCATACAACATGATAATGCATCCTTAGTGGGGCATTTAATTTCCAAATGTATGTTTTTTGCATTGATTGATTTTTTTCTTGTAGGAGGAAAGTTTGTCTGGACAAGAACAGGGTAATAATACCAAAAGTTCATGGATCGGTAACATGAAGGGCAAAAATGGAATTTACAGCGTAGGCTTCACAGGGCAAGGCTTATTTGGAGCTTCAAATGATGCAGAAAGGGTAGCAGAAGATATTGGGAGACAATTGAACTCATATAGAAAGCATCTAAGCTCAAAGATTAATCCTTATATGTAGCATGAAATAGAATCAATATCTTTTTGTTAGGGTAGTTTTCATAAGGCTATCTTTGTAATCTAATTGTCACCACAAAAAAGAAATTATGCAGTGATATATACAAAAACTACTTTGACCTTATGCTTTTTTTTAATAAATACTAGCAAAACGAGTACTTACTAACAAAAATTTTGTGCTTGAATTGGAGCAATTAAATCTCGATATCCCAGATGCTCTCGGCTTTTATGGTTGGTTTCTTTTTCTTATCTGCTAAATTGACTGATACAGAAACCTGGAAGGCATTAAGAACCAAATGTCAAGATCTGTTGCACAATGAAATCCAAAACATAGCATGCCCAATTCCAAAGTTACGCAAATTATATCAAATAACTGCAATTCCTCTGTTACAGTGTTACTAATTCAACATCTCTATCGTTGTTATACATTATAAGCTACATAAATTACATCAATAAAGTGAAAGTTCAGAGAGAATTTACCTTGATGCTTCTATTATTAGAGGATTTCCTTCTCAAATCCAACCCTAAAACCCTAGTGGATGACTGATACGAAGCCCTAACCACACTGTCATCGTCAACTCTCCTTGACACAGCTACGTCCCACGAATTCTCAGCAAAATCATAGCTAGGCTCAATAGTCGTCACACCTCCATGCACGTAATTGTACTTCACCTTACAGCTCCCAGGCTTAAATCCGTAATAAGCTGAAACCTTATGATTAGAATTCAACGCTAGCGTACCATCCAATGATGTCCGGTTCTCAACTACCGAGTGTTTATACGTCAAGTTCAATGGCTTCTCGTTAATCTTAAATGTATTCATGAACTGAAATCGCACATCCTAATTTCATAGCAAAATTAAAGTATTAGCTGTAAAATGGAAATCTAGATGAAAATCAAACATAAATACTCATTTGCACCTTTTTGGGGACGATATAATCGACGACGAAGGATCCAGGGCTTTCTACGGATAGAGTAAGGTCGTTTAAAAGAGGGCCGTTAAAGAATGTGCCACCAGTGAGGGAAGCTTGTAAGTTGACGCCGCCGGCGTTCACTACTATGGAACCCGTGCCGTCGGAATTGTTGGCGTCGTAGCTTCCTCTGAATGAAGCCTTCATCTTTTTTTTGGAAGGGAGTAGAACCAGAAGATGCTGGAGAGTTACAAGGGTTTATCAGGCTGATGGTGGGAAAGGAAAAGAATTCTGTGATTTTCAATAATCTTGTGGGCTTTTGGTCACTATTTGTAATTTAACGAGCTCTTTTATCGATTTTGGCCGATCGCTCCCTCCCTTTACGCAATGATTAAAACATTAAAAAGAAAATTTACGTGATTGGTCCATGTAACTTTGCCGTAAATGACAGATCCTTTATGTATGTAGAAAGATATTTATACCATTTAATTTAATTTTATTTACTAATTAAGAATTAAACAAAGAACAAAATATGTCGGAACAAATTTGCTCAAGATCATGTAGGGTTTGTCGAAATTTGGAGGTCGGTTGTTTTCAAGATTAAGTAAAGTTTAATAAAGAAAGTTTTACAAAAAAAATCAATATTTTGGTCGATAAGAAAATTACTAACTAGCCATAAACCCTAATTATTTATCCATTTTTAGCCTAAAATTATCACTTATCCTATAATAACCACTAAAACTGTAGGTTTCCTAATTCGCACTCTTTCTCCTAAAACCTACGGTTTTAGTGACATCTATATAATTTTTTTTCCATTTTCGAAATCAAAACGGTAGGTTTCTTATAACCTACGATTTACTCTCTAATGTTTACGGTCTTTCAAATAGTAGTTTTTGAAAACCTACGGTTTCATCAAGGAAACTTACGGTGTACAAGCATTCGAAGCACAATCTGTGCATTGTCTACTTGTACACCGTAGGTTTCGTATGAAGTCTACTGTTTCATATTTTTTTTCACACAAGAATCGAAAGATACATGGTTATTCTATGAAAGCTCAACTGAGAGAAAATAGTAGTCTAACTTACTAGAAAATTACACAAATGACCTAATCTGAATACTAAAACTCTATATACTATGGGCCAACAAGCCCTGAAAGAGTAGACGGCCCACGAAACATTATTATGGGATAAATGCTAATTTTTGGATAAAAATTGCTAAGTAATTAGAGATTATGGCTAGTTTAGTAATTTTCTCTTAAATAATTATTTTCCAATATCATTTAATAAATATTCAAACCAAACAAAAAACAAATTTCATTAAATGTCGACCAAACACAACGAATTCCAATCCTATCTAATTTCAATTCCATCATATTCCATTTTGTTTGAGAGATTCATTATTTCCAAAACATTTTACGAAACATATATCACAAAATAATATAAATAACAAATAAATCGAGATTTTAACAACCTTGGTAGTTATATAAATAACAAATAAATCGAGATTTTAATAACCTTGGTAGTAAAGTAGTAACAGCTCTCATCTTGGTGTATTAATGATGGTTAATTTTGTAGCAACCAATCTCATTATCAATTTATCATAAGAAAATTATTTTTGTTATAATACACATATAATTACTAACTGCCTATGCGTTTATATATTGTTTGTGTCTATTTTATTTTACAACAATGGAGAAACACAGTTTAACAATATAGAAAAATCCACGGATTTTGATGTTAAAAAAAAGTACCTTAAGAGAAACAAATTAAGCTAACTGTATCCTTATGTGCATACAATACGATGGAAAGTTTGTGAAAGTATGAACAAAATAAAGAGTAAAAATGATGCAAGATTTGGTGCCTAAATAAATAAATAAATACAAACGTGTAAAAACATATAAAACTGTGGGGTATAAATATAATATAATCTTCTCTACTTTTTACGAACTGCAAACCAATATGAGGAATTTAACGAGTATAAAAAAAGAATGGCTCTTGGATCTAATCAATCGACAATCACCTATACTTTCTTGGAAGCCCCGCCTTGTTGTTGTTTTGCTGTGCATGCCTTAAACTTAATTCTCGTAAATTCTGTTAAAACCATATATAAAATATAAAATTCACATCAGAATTTGTTCCAAACCTAAAACTATGCACAATATACTTTTAAAAAGTATGAACATAATAACAACATACTTGTATTTCTTACCTATAATAGTTATGTATTTATTTTAATCTTTTCTTTATAATAGCAATGTACTCACGTTTTGCTACCAATATAAATTACATATTGCTATTATCTCGGTGTAAATATGTTGCCATTATGAGTAAAGTTTTGTAAGTACTTGTTATTATGTGTAAAAAATGAATGTACGTTGCTATAATGAGTTACATATTTGCTATTATTGGTAAAACAAGATGTAAGTATGTTGTCATGATGGATAATAAAATAAACTACATTGCCTATCTCGCTAAAAAAAAAAAAAAAGGCAAGGTAAATATTGTACGAAAAGCAAAAAGAATCTCATAGAATGTTGACAACCACCCTTCCCCCTCTCTTACCAACAAACAATTTCAATTTGGATCCTCAATGTAGTAGCAGAAGCACCATCTCCATAAACTTGTTTTTGTAACAACGCAAGCTCTCCTGAGTGCTAATATTTCGGTGTTGTTTGTTTTGGAAGTGGTTAAATGTCTTTTGTCTTTTTCCATGTTTGCGGAAGAAGACGTGCACTTGCGAAACGTCTACCCACCAGAAGGGAAAAGTGCTCCAAAAGTACTTTTGTAGAAAAACAAACGAAGCGAAGCCTTCATGTATCTCTCTCGCTAGAGACTCGCACACCCCCTTTATTACTGACTTACAAAACTCCTTCATGAGTGATTTCTTACGATCCTACTTTTGATAGCATTTGTCCAAGACTTGTCTTTACAAGCTCATCGTACGACACTTAGTTCTCAAGTTAAGTCGGTCTAACTCATACTATAAGAGGGATACGAGGCAACACAAGAGCACACCAAAGCTAAATGTGAAAAGGAATTCACGAGATGACTCTTAAAATGCTTACAAGGAGAAGAACTACACAAGTTATAGGATGTCTACAAATGAAAAGAGACAAACTTATATTTAATCGAGGTCTTCCAACAATATAAATAGACAAGTGCGAAGGACACCTTTTCTAGAATACTTTACTCCTTTTCAATGTATTTACATGAAAGATCCTTCTTCCCTCCTATCAACTCTTCTCTTGACCCGTGTAGATGGTTTCAAAATTTTAAATCTAACTTCATGTATTACATCAAGAACTTAGAAAGCCATGACAATAAGCCATAAAGGTTGACTGCTGAAATGAGGTGTGTTCATGCTTTTAGCTTTTACTTACAACGAGTGGTTTAACTTTAAGCATGATTACAAATCTTTTGACTATAAATCGACAAAAGGGTTAAAGAACATGTATGTATGATTCTTAGCTTAACTGGTTACCCTTTTCAACTTCTACTAAGAAGGTAGCTGTGCAATAAATCTAGGATCAGTTCATGATGTAATCAGTTTTTTCCTACCAACACAAAAAGAAGAAAAGATTACTTAACAATCAACACCCTTCATTCAACAAATGGTTGAATCAGACATAACTATCATAAGAAAAATAAAAGAAAAGATGGTTGTTTTGGACAAGCAGGAACTGCTATTGCTAATATTTTTTTTGTTTTCTGAAAATACCCTCAAATGAGCAATCACAACATTCACACACAATGCAACCATTTGAAAGAAATTCAAAGGTAAGTATCTCTGTTACTCAATCAAAGCTTGGTTCTTTCTAATGTCACTGTTAAATTAAGATTTATGAATTCAACATAGAATCTAGGGCTTTAGGTACAGTACGCACCGTTGATTGGAGAGGAGGAGGATCAAGATGAATAGAGTGTAAAGACATTCTAGCGATCTCGGATACGGCAGCTTCTCTCACTTCAGGTGTGTCGCTTGTTAAATCCTCGTAAGCAGCCACAAACGCTTCCTGCCAGAATCGAGGTAATCTGATCCTACGGCTATTGGTGTATACATCCCACATATGCTTCACCACTTTCTCTCGCTCCTCCATTTCCTATTCAAAACCAGAAATCAGATCAATGAATCCAAAGAAACACGGAAACATTCACAGAGAGAGAAAAGGACGGACAAGGACGTCGAAATCGTCATAGATAGGAGGGCCATTAGCGATGTCATCGGATAATCGGTTGAGGTTGCCGACGGAGAGGCGGAGAGTGACGGTGCCTGTAAACATTGACCAAAATGCGAGGAGGATAATGGCGGCGAGGGCCCAAAACTTGTACCGGCCTCTTCTAAAGATGCTATACTCTAGGGTTTCCTTCTTATTAGAGATCAATGCCGATGATGAATATATTGTTGTGGGTGTTGATATCGGCAGGGAATCCTCATCCCTCATCTCTCCTCGGATTTAAACCAACAATGCAAAATTGAAACAAATTTGCCTAATTCAAACAGTGTTCATCATGACACTGTGACATGAAACTGTGTGAGGTTTTTGAGATAGAGATTACCAAACACAGTGCTCAAAAGATAATGGAAGAACATGCACAGCAGTTATGGGATTGCTTGGATCAATCTTTCATCAGATTCGCTAAATTCCAGATTGTCAATTTTGAAGCACTGTGATTTGGGGTTACAATTGACATCACCGCCATGTTCATTATCGTTAGTACTTAGTACTGCTCGTCACCAAGTGGGTGGACATGGACCCATGATGGGCCCAATTGGATTTGAAGCCCAAAATATAAAAGTATTTTGGTTAGTTTCAAGTTTAAAGCCACTATAGATAAAGATCGGCAATATTAATTAACTTTTTGGTATGTTTATATTTGGGTAAATATTTTTTTTATTGTACACATCTGGATAACAAATTTGTTGGAAGTGTTCACATATGACCATTATGACCTGCTATAGCAGGTTAAATCCTACATGTGAACGCTTTCAACAAGTTCGTTACCTAGATGTGTACAAAAAAAATAGTTACTCAAATATGAACAAAACGAAAAGTAAAAATTAAATTACACGAATGGTCCCTATGGTTTGGGAGAATTTATGTTTTTGGTCTCTAACTTATTTTTTTAACTTGGATGGTCCTTATTGTTTATTTTTGTTGCACGTTTGGTCCTTGTCTTTCCTAAAAAGATTATTGTGCCCTTATTAATTTATTTTTTAATTAATTTTTTTATTTATGTATTTATTTTTTACATATTTAAAAAAAATTAATAGACCCCACATATTTGTATCTCTCCTCGGATGATCCCTACTGTTTATTTTTTAATTAATTTATTTTTTTAACTTGGATGATCCCTACTGTTTAACTTTGTTACGCGTTTGGTCCCTGTCTTACCTAAAAAGACTATTTTGCCCTTATTAATTTCTTTTAATTAATTTTCTTATTTATGTATTTATTTTTTTATATATTTAAAAAAATTAATATACCCCACATATGTGTATCTCCTCACCGTAAACCTGAAATCACATTTGATAACTTTATATTGGGTCTTACCGGTCACCATCCCATCTCTCATCGTCCCCAACTTCTATTTCTTTTCCATCTTTAGTAACATCAACGTCTTCACCATCCTTCTTTTTTTGGTACTTCAACCCCGGCGAACCAACACCATAACCTACTGTCTCTTCATCTTTAGTGGGTTGTGGTGTTGATTCGACGGAGTTGAAGGACCGAAAAAAGAAGGGGTGCTGAAGACGTCGATATCACTAATGATGGAAAATAAATAGAAGTTGAGAAGGATGAGAGATGGGATGTTGAGGAGATACAGATATGTGAGGTCTACTAAATTTTCTTAAATATATAAAGCAATAAGTACATAAACAAGAAAATTAATTAAAAAAATAAATTAATAAGGGCACAATAGTCTTTTTAGGTAAGACAGAGACCAAGCTCGTAACAAAATTAAACAGTAGGAACCATCCGAGTTAAAAAAATAAATTAATTAAAAAATAAACAGTAGAGATCATCCGAGGAGATACAAATATGCGGGGTCTATTAATTTTTTTAAATATGTAAAAAATAAATACATAAACAAGAAAATTAATTAAAAAATAAATTAATAAGGGCACACTAGTCTTTTTAGGTAAGACGTGGACCAAACGCGCAACAAAAATAAACAATAGGGACCATCCAAGTTAAAAAAAAAATAAGTTAGGGACCAAAAACACAAATTACCCCAAACCATAGGGACCATTCGTATAATTTACTTTTACTTTTCGTTTTGTTCATATTTAGGTAACTATTTTTTTTGTACACATCTAGGTAACGAACTTATTGAAAGCGTTCACATCTAGGATTTAACCTGCTATAGCAGGTCATAATGGTCATATGTGAACACTTCTAACAAGTTTGTTACCTAGATGTGTACAAAAAAAAGATAGTTACCCAGATGTGAACATACCGAAAAGTTAATTACCTTAATAAGTCATATTCCCATAAAGATTCCATGACAAAAACTAAAATGGTAGAATAATATCAAATAGGATTAGGGGTGACCAAAAACTAAACCGATAAAAGAAAAACCGCAAAAACCGCAATAAACCGCAACCGAAAAGTCGAAACCGATGGTGCAAATTTTATTTTTTTAAAAAACCGAATTTATTGGTGCGGTGCGGTGCGATTTTCATCTAGAAACCGGACCACCAAAACCGAACCGCACCGCAAACTTATTAACAATAAAATAAATCACTAATTTATATTATACAATTATACATATTATTTTAAAAAAATTAATAAATTCTAATATATATATATATATATATATATATATATATATATTGAACTTAACGGTAATTAGTAATTAGGTATTAGGTTTAATATGTGAGTTTGTCACTTTGTGTTTATGACTTAATGATTATGTGTAAAGTGTAAACACTATGTGGGCTACAACTTGCAAGTTTGTAACTTCTAAGCACAAATTAAATAAAAAATAAGCTAGGGAATATGGGTTATAAATGAAGTGATCAAGTAAACAACATGTCATACAATCATAAATCTTCACATGAACACCACGGTTAAAAAAATCGTATCTGTGAACATAAAAAATTGCACCATATGTTTGATTTGGTTTAAAACCGACACCGAACCGGTACAAACCGAAACTACACTTAAAACCGCAAAATCGAACCATTGAAAAACCGCACCCAACGGTTTCTAAAATTCAAAAACCGCACATTGAGGTTTGCGGTTCGGTTTGGCTCTAAAACCGCACCAAACCGCACCATGCTCACCCCTAAACATGTCCAAATTCAAAAAGCACGACTATTTATTTATAAATATTTTAAAAAATATTTATATTTTATTTATATGTACATAAACCGTTTCAGTTAACTTTCACATTAACCTAAATATCTAACTTTTTAAAAAAATTATCAGTTGTTTTGTGGCATGACATTTATCTTTTTTTGTGTTTAGGTTATCATATAAAACAAAAATAAATGACGTTGTCTCTTGTCTAAAACAAAATGTAAGAAACAAATCATTTACTCAAACAAAAATAAGTGGTGTCGCTTAATTTAACTCTTCGCTTAACAAAAAAACTAATCATCTTCTGTACTTGATTCGATAATAATTCATTAAATTAGTATATCTTGTTACACAATTGTGTCTTAGTTGCAATCTCTAATCCAACCTTCCTTAGTTGTTTCAAAGTCCTTGTATCATATATTTTTATATTTTTATAAGTTTTTATTACCGTGACAATGTTCGATCAATGTAAGAATAGAGAAATTATGTTGGATTCGTTAGCTTTAACATTTACAAGTTTTGTTTTACATAAAAGGTAGTAGGGTGATTTTGTTTATATGGTTTATTTAACCGTAGAAGTTGAAAATTCACGTTTTAAGTGGAAATCATTATACGTTCGATACTTTATGAGGCATAATGGCATGAGATATAACTTCTTACGAGTTAATCGGTTAGGGAAGACGGAGTCGTATGTGGTTTTTCGATACCCCCGGAAAACCACACCTTGAGCAACGGTTTCAGTGGGTTCAACCATTTTCTTGATTCCAAAGGGTCTCTGAACCCGCTATTGGATTTAATGCATCAAGTTTGACTTTCTCTTTGACCACAAAAGAAAATGATTCTTCATATTTTGTTTTACCATGCAACCCACCCATGAATATATTTTCTTTCTTTCTTTCTTTCTTGTTTTTTTGCCTCTTGTATGATTTGTAACTTTACCAAAATAATTCTTCTTCATGATTTAAGTGTCTTTATTTTAAGTTTTTTGGAACTTAACAAAACTAATTTTTCTTAAAAATGTTATGTTTTATTTTATTTATTTTTTTAATTTAATTAAATAAAAAATAGTGATATGGCAAGTGGGTTGAAAGGTTGGGAAAGATAAGATTTTCATGTGTTGTGGGTTGAAAAAGATGGAAAAAATATAGAAAAAAACTGATATGACAGTGGATTGAGTAGGTTGGAAAGGAAGGATTCCATCCACCCTTACGAGACTTTAGATGTTATTGTCGAGCAATAAAAGTGTTATTGGGCTCAAAGTCATGTTGTAGTTAATGGTTTTTCCAATTTACTTTCCTTTTTAAGCATGAAAGAATTTTGACTTATACTTATGTTGGAATGAGGAAAAAATTGAGCAGTTTAGAACATCTAATTGAGGTTTGAATTTAAATTAACATTGTTATCTAATAGAAATCTATTGAATCCTCCTTATAATTTAAAATAATTTTGCCACTTATTATCCTTTAGTGCTTTATGTCACATGACTTTTTCTTATTATTTTCATTTTTTTTTCCACGTGCCATTTTATGGTTTTTTCATTTTATTAAATTACACATAATTTTAAATGTAATAATAAAAGCATATTAATTTCATTAATGAATTTTCCTTCTAATTTCAAAATTACTAAATTAAAGTCTCGTTAATTTACTTTGTTTATTTATCTAAATTATTTGTTTAAATTTAAAAGAAAAAAAACACTTTAATTTTAATAATTTAATATTTTTCTCATTGTTTTTTTATAAATTCAAACTTTAAATGTTTAGAATTTCATATATATATATATATATATATATATATATATATATAAACTAATGTATTACATGGGTCTCACACCTAGTTATATTATAAGTGACATCTTTCTATATTAATAAAAAAAAATTATTAGTGTTACTTGTCATTTTCTCATAATTTATGTTTTCTTTTCAAATGCTCTATAAAAATGACACTTGTCATTTTCTCATTAATTTTTATTTTTTAAAAAGTATTGATGTTGATAATAAATTAGACAATTATTTATTTGATCCCTGATTTTTAAAAGAAATTTAAATTTGCTTTGAATAAGTTTCGGTTGTCATTGTCGATAATTAATTGTATTTCTATATTGAGAATCCTACAAAATCAAGTTTAATTAATAATTTACTGAAAATAATTGACTAATAGTTATGAATTTTTACTATAAAAAGTTAATTATTTTTGTAACCGTGGTTCCTACGGACTATAAGTTAGTTTATTATATAGAGTAAGTAACGTAAAAATCTTTTATATGGTTTGATCTAATTTACATATTCTTTCCCAATTCATTTTTTTCAATAATCTAGATGTATAAAAAAAAAAAAGTTTGTAAAAAAACAATATTGAAACTGAACTGATTGTTTGAGTTTGAAACCAGT